GGAGGAGTGGGGAGGCCAGTCTCAGGTTTTGCCTGGCCAATCTGGTGACGGAGATCTCGTGGTGGGTGAGGGCCGAGGCGTCTCTTTCTGGGCATCCTTCTTGTATCTTTGGCTCGGGATCGGCCTTGAGCTTGAACGTGGCTCCCACGCTGGGGGTGTGATAGTTTTCGCCGCTTTGACTTCGCCATGTCCGCATCTGCTATTGAAGAACGACGAGCATCGGGTTGCTGTTTCTGACCCATCTTTTCACATCCTAAACACATTCGCGCTTCGGGTTGTCGAATTAGCGTACTCTAAAGCGGCCGCTGGTGTGGGCGCTATTATCACGCTCAACAAATGATACAAGAATAACCAGTTGAGAGGTGTAGAGTGCCACCCATTCCAGATGGAGAAAAGGGAAAGATGGAATGGGATCAAAATGCAAGGCTTAGCGTGTCTATTTTGGCATGTTGGGCTAGTGCATAAACAGCTAGTGGTACGGATAGACTAGTACAAAACAAGAATGGCCTGCCTTGGCCTAGCCACTTGCCTGTTTTGTGATGCATCGTCTTTCTTTCCACGACTTCTTCCAGCATCTACAATCAGTCATTCACTCACCGCCTTGGCTTCGAGTTACAGCAAGTCATGACCTGCTAGTCTGCGGCATAAAAGCAGTCGACACCAAAGATCTCCCGGCTATGTCTGACCGCCGTTTATGAGAAAGCCGGTAGCGAATACGCACTGCGCTGTGGCCTTACTTACTACATCTGTCAGCTTACTTTCACTGCCCGACGCCCCGACACAACAAAAGCTTGAGCAGATTGCGCTAGGTTATAGAGCAAGATTCGCGATGCTGCTTTCAGTTACCGTGCCCAGGCTCCTAAACTCGGGATGGTGTGGAGTGACTCGTGGGACGCTTGTGAGATCTCGGATCCTTGTATCCGTCGGCCACCCAAACGCTTCCCGATGTTTCTTTTTGAGGGAGAGGCCTCCACCGGTCAAACTCACTAGGCACGTCCTTTTGACCATCGACTGAGCCCCAGACGTGTCGGTCCAGCAGAGTATCCCTGTCGTCATAGTCGAGGACCGATACTCCGATGACCAGTTATTTGCTCATCTTGTCTAAATCATCCGTGGGATCATGGACAAGGCCGGGGCCTCCGCACTGTCACCTCAGCCGACACCAGGTCCACAGACTGTCTCGTTCTCTTCTCTAAACGTTCAAGTCCGATGGAGCGAACATGTCCTTGAACAGGAAATTGCAAATTCAACCCCGGTGGTTGGTCGGAGTGGTTGCCTATGCATCCTGCATGGGCCATTGCCCATTGTGGCCAAATCTGCTAGCACATGTGAGTTGGAGCAATGCGCACTGGCTTGACCAGAAGAATCAGGCCATGAGCCAATGTACCCTTCTGAGAATATGACTTCCCAAATTAAATTATACGAGCACCAGCCTCCACCAGACGCCTCCCAACCGATAATGACTTGTTTCAACGCGATTCCCAATCCCTCAGCCTTCTTGCTTATGTTGGCCGAATCAGTCACGAAAGAGGATTTCCCAAGATCTGTTGTACCTAGATATATTGCCATAGGTCCCCTGCGCCATTTTTGTCTCTTGTCTCACTTCCATCCAAACACTCTGTCCTACAGTCTTTTTCATCTGTCCGACAGATATACCGAAAGCATACCTTTCCATCCCCAACATGCGGAGGACCAATAACATAGGCTTTTTGGCCCTGGGCCTGGCGTCCTCCATCCAAGGAATTTCAGCAGGTCCCACGTGGCCGTCCGCTTATGATGAGATCGAGGACCTCATGTTCCTGAACAACGGGTACAACGCCCGAGAGTTTCCTATACTTCTGCAACCGTGCACCATCGCCAAGGAGCCAGGTCACTCAATCGCTGCTGGTCTCATCCGGACAGCGTTCCACGACATGGCCCCTCATGATGCCTCGACCGGAGTGGGAGGTGTCGACGCCTCGATCGGCTTTGAGCTGGATTCGAACATCTACCCAACCAACACCGGGATTGCCTTCAACAACACTCTACACTTCTATTCTCAGTTCTTCAGCAGCCGAGCCCCGATGGCTGATCTGATCAATGTCGGGCTCTATCAGGCGGTGAGGGCATGTGGTGGTCCGATTGTGCCCGTGCGAGCTGGACGTGTCGACGCCACCGGTCCTGGTCCGGTTGGTGTTCCTCAACCCACCGATCCCATGCCGCAGATGATTGGAGAATTCAGACGCATGGGGTTCAGCCCCGAGGAGATGGTTGCGATGGTTGCCTGTGGTCACAGCATAGGTGGTGTCCATTCTGAAGAGCATCCCGATATTGTGCCTCCGGGCAGCACGCCGCTCGGTGTCCAGGACTTGGATTCGACCAACGCCACCTTCGACAACGCTGTCGTCACCGAGTATCTCGATGGCACAACCAGAAACCCTCTTGTCGTCGGCGCCAATCCCAAGGCTTACTCTGACGGACGCATCTTTGGTCTCAATGACCGCCAGACGGTGTCTGGCTTGGCCGATCCCTATGCCTACGCCAATGCTTGCTCGGGCATTTTCGCCAAAATGATCAACACTGTCCCTGCTGGCGTGCAGCTGTCTGATGTCATTGCCCCCTATGAGCTCAAGCCGTCGAACCTCCAGCTCAACGTTGCCGCCGACGGACAAAATCTCCAGTTCACGGGCGAGCTCCGCATCCACACCAACAGTCTCCCATCGTCCAGCATCTCCAGCGTCCAAGTTGTCTACAAGGACCGGACTGGAGCAGCAGGCGATGGATACACCATTCAGGCGTCAGTTTTGGGCGATGCCAACGGTTTCGACGACACATTCACCGTAAGTGCAGTCTACTCTTAGAAGTTTTGATGCTAATACGTCTCCTAGTTCTACGGCTTTGAGGGAACGATCCCAGCTTCGACCTCGATTTCATCCTTTACCGTTATTGTCTCTCTCACCAGTGGCTCTACCCAGACCTTTGATAACAACGGACAAGGCTACGCGATCTCGGACAAGATCTTTGCACAAACCTCGTACTCTTCCCTCGCTGCCGCAGACGCCTCCGATAACCAACAATTGACTGTTTACGCTGCTGCCCGCACTGGTGAGACCTACGACCCAGTCACCCTGTCGGTTGATCTGATCAACCCAATCACGTACAATGACCTACCCACCGTCAGCAGTGTCCCGACGCCCATGACGAGCGTATGCGCCGGCCAGTACTATACCTTTTATTCCGCCACGTTTGGCGTGCCCGCTGCTGGCGCCAACTTTACGAAATACGACGTGAGCACGAGCTCCAATGGGGAGACCGTCTCGGACAGTTTCAAGAGCCTTGCCGGACTTCCTCTCACGGCCAGCGCATCGCCGTCGTGTAGCGGCTCGTGGAACAAGAGGGCCGTCAACTTCAGCGCGTAAAGCTGCTGTTCTGTGTTGTGTTGTGGTGTAATGTGAAGCGAGGCGCGAGGGACCTCTAATACCCAAAGAACTCATCCGTGTTGCATTTGTTATATGCTGGGAGGGAGGGAGGAAACCAAAAAGCTAGCTGGAAACACGCACGCAGGAACTTGCCGATAGGAAGCATCGGGAGGCATTGGGAGGCAGGCGCATGACCGGGCGTTTCAATCTTTTTGATGTGTTGGTTGCATGAATGAATGCATTTTGCAAGCGGGCAAGACGAAGACATTACATTGCATAGCACGGAGCAAGAGAAAAGAGAAAAAAGAGACACCAGTTAGATCAGGACTTTGGATTTTTTTTTTTTAGCAGCAAGCCACCTGCACCCTGTATCTGTATCATTATGTATGAACTCGAGTCTATGACAGTCATTTTGAAGGTCGGATCTCGTCGAAGTTGAGGACTCTTGCTAAGTAATGTTTGTATCACGCAGACACTGGTCTGATCTCAGATGGTTGTCGATCTGGGACTTTGGTAACATTCCTGCCCATGAGTCGTCCGACGGCACGAGTATGACTACGGCACGAGTATGACTACGGCACGAGTATGACTACGGCACGAGTATGACTACGGCACGAGTATGACTACGGCACGAGTATGACTACGGCTGCGACTACGACTATGAAGAAAGCATTTCCCGTGATCGTCTTGCCGTCCACAGGAAAGCCCTCCCTCCCGCCTGTAACCGCTGCCCGTGATGTCATTCAGACCGAGTACGTACAGCATGTACTTGCATGGACCGAGCTTTGCGTGCTTGCCCAAATAGGCAAGTATGAATATGTTTTCGGCTCAGCCGAATTTCCCCTTTCGGATTTCCCAGCTATTGATATTACGGGATCAAACCACCAAACCACCTACACACCCCACCCACCAATGAGATCTTCGACGGTGGCGGTCCTCGAAGCGGCCCCCTTCCTGCGGACTCGGGGGAAGTATCCTCCCGCCTGTGGGACGTTTTGTACCGAGTACTTGGTATACATACAGACCCTTGACGAATGAATGAGTTTATGGCGTGTCGGACCGGATTGTAATCAGAGGAAAAAGCGAAAACACTTTCTGGCGGCTCTCCCGTGGAGCTTATGTCCGAGACGTACATCTGTAGCTACCAAGTAGTTTCTTGAGGGGTAGAAGATTCTCGCACACAGAGAGAGAGGGGGGGGGGGAAATGAAGCGGTCATGGACAAGGGATGATGTATGGACTACGGAGAAATCAGGGTTCCCCAGATATAGTGGAGGCATGCAAGTGAGTGGAAAAGGGTATAAAGATGGGAGCGAGGGAGGGAGGGGAGATTTTTGTCTTGCAAAATACCACACCACATTTCCATTCATGGTTGTGCTGCTTCCATAGGGTTTCAACGCCACTGCACAGACTACGTACAAAGAAAAAGCTTGCCAGCAAAGCGAGGAGGGAGAAATAGAAACAATATCGTATCGACCAGCAGGCCGACAAGAGCAATTAAGGGTTGTCAGGATCCAAAGAGTTCAATATTCCCTACGCGGTTCCAGGTCTCAACGAACTTCGGCCAACCAGCAACTCCATCAGCCTCGTCACAGTCGCCGGCCATGGCGGCCAACACCATCGTCCTGATCACAGGCGCCAACACAGGTCTAGGCCTCGAGACAGTCAGGTCTTTACTCCAGTCACCCGGCAAAACATACACCATCCTCCTGGGCGGCCGGAGTCTGGAGAAAGCCACCACGGCTGCGAAGCAGGTCAAGGACGAGTTCCCCCAGAGTCAAAGCGTCGTGACGCCCGTGCAGATTGACGTCGAGGACGACCAGTCAATCAATGCTTTGTTCGAGAATCTGGAGCAGCACCATGGAAGGCTGGATGTGCTGATAAACAACGCTGGTGAGGCTTCTGTCCCGATTATTCGAGCTGCACCTTTAGTCTCATCGTCCTCTCATCAAAGCTCGATAAAAGGGCTAACGCTGACCTTGATGCTTTCCTGTGCTTCGACAGGCGGCCAGCTCGAGCCAAAAATGTCCTCTGGTGAACTCACCATGCGCCAGATGTGGAACAAATCCTGGGATGTCAACGTCACAGGCACGTACATCCTCACATACACACTCATCCCACTCCTCCTAAAGTCCTCTGACCCTCGCCTCCTTTTCATCACAAGCGGGACTGCCACTCTCACCGAGAGCACAAATCCAGCGGTCATCGTCAATCAGTCCCCCGGGGAGAAGGGTTGGCCTAAAACCAACCGTGGCCTCACTGGGCTGGGGATTCCGGCATACAGGGCCAGCAAGACTGGAATGAACATGATGATGCGCGAGTGGGTTAGGGTCTTGAAGGACGACAATGTCAAGGTGTGGTGTGTGAGCCCCGGCTTCTTGGCAACGGGACTTGGTTTTGGCAACCCGGAGCGATTGAAGCAGCTGGGTGCATTGGACCCGAGTGTCGGAGCCGGCGTGGTGAGAGATGTAGTAGATGGACTGAGAGACCAAGATGTCGGGTCTGTCGTGCGGAAAGACGGGGTCCAGCCTTGGTGATGATTGGAAGTGACCGAGCGAATTTTGCGCCATGCAAAGGAGATAACTTGTGCATCCAGCTCCGAGCAAGAGAGCTGATGGCATTCTCAATGATTTTCAAACTCGCTCAGAGACGTCAGTGGATCATCTTCCCCCATGATCTGTGAATCGAACGTCATCCATTCCATACTGTCAAATTCATTGCCCATGAAGTTGAAGGGGTCAAGAAAGCTAAAAGACGGTTCTTGATCGACCGGAAGATAAGACTGGCTCTCCTGAGACTGCCGCAATAGTAGGGCTGGGTCGAGCTCCAGCGAGTTGTGAGCCATGTTAGTCCGATTGCCACCAAGTGGGAAATGGTTGTTGGCATGATGCACATTCGGAGATTTAGTGCTATCCAGCACGAGACGGAGGGCAGACGAGACCCGAGCTGCATCTTTGCTCAGGTTGGACTTCTCCGTACAGATGACAATAGCCTGCTCGAGAAGAGCGACCACCTCCGCCTCGGTGGCAGCATCAATGAGCGATGGGACGCCCTTGAAGAGACTTTTGCGCCGAATGTGGACGATCAGGCAAAGTGTCATGACACCAAGCAGGAAATCGTTCATAGTGAAGTTTGTCAACATCCACCGTTCCATGTGCAATAAACCGCCCGGTTCCATCTCCTTGTACACGGCAATGAACTGGCTGACGAGTCGTGTTGCAGCATTCACGCAGGATTGTGTACTCGACAGGTTGCCGCGGGCCATATAGGGCCGATGGAGAACCAAGAGACTCTTCAGGTAAATAAAATCGATATAGAGTCTTGTCATGATGGCAAATGGCGATTCCGCAATTGACTCTGACAGAGGCCGCGGCTTCAAAACTTCTGGAGTGATTTCGTGCATGCGTTGAATTTCTCGGTCGAGCTGGAGCACCTCTGCTTCCGTCTTCAATTCGAACGAAAGTGCATTCTGGTATACCTTTCCGAAAGCGTACATTTGCCTGTCCTTGACAATAAACCAGAGGAGTCGGGTCATCTCGTTCTCCGCTCGGGAAGGAGGTAGTACCCTGGTATCTTCATCGAAATCTGAATCCATGAGATTTCTCGGTGCTTTGGTGTCACAGTTCTCCAGGCAGATGGTGCTTGGGAGGCCGAGTTGAAATGAGACCATGAGGTCCATCTGCTTACATGTAGACCAGAACCGTCGACGCATCTCCCCTTCAAACACTGTAAAAGAGCCGAGAGAGTCAGGATCCCGGTGGTAGCCCATCTCGTGGGCCATGCGTACGACCACGGCCAATATGGCTCCCGCTTCACGCGACGGGTCGAGGCTTCGGAGATTCTTGTATTGAGCATATAACCCAAGTGCCTCAACTGTCAGTGGCTGTGGTTGGTAATACCCTCCTGCCACCAGGCACTGCGCGGCAGCTGTGTGAAAGTTGGAGCCGGCAGTGGTTCCTGGTTCATTTGATGAAACTCCTTGCGTGGCCTTGATCCAAGTGGCTATGCTGCAGATTGAAAATAGGATGGAAACCCAAAGCGGATTGACGCTCGTCATCTCGCACCAGAATGCTCGATACTGCCGCTGGAAATGATACGCATGAATGAACGGGACAATGAAAGTCTCGCCCTGGAAATAAACGGCGAGCAGCCGATCCACCTCTTGTCTTGGAGGGAGGTACTGAGATAGGACCTGTGCTAAGGGATAGTTGTCCGGGGATCCGAATATCAGCTCGTGGCCATTGCTAGTGGGTTCTGGTAGATTTTCGTTGTCGTTCGCTTGTTGACCATGAGCTACGCTCGCCAGCGCGGCCTTCAATTCCTGGATATCCTCCAGTATGGCTGACCAATGTGTCGATCCAACATATGTCGTAGAGGCGGTCTCCTCATGATTAATACCAGCCGTGTCACTGAAGGATGCCTCAGGCGGAGTCACTAGTTTTGCGGTTGGTGGTAGTACCGTGTCGTTGCTAACCTGTGCCGCCGCTTGGTTTTCCATCAGTTGACTGACCAGGGCTTCCAGATGCAACAGCCTGTCTTCGGCCACAGAGGGACGGTTGCGGATCGGGTTGCCGTGGTGCACATTTCCAGACGTACGAGGGTAATTGCAGATGGTATTGGTGCCTCTTTTCACACAACTGCCGCAGGGGTGGTTGCGGTCACATCGCAGTTTGGCGTCTTTGCACTGAGTGCACACATACGACTCTCGGGGCCGCCTTGTAGTATCCTGCAGGTGCTTCTTTGATCCTGAGCGGAACTTGCCAGTCAAATCTGTGAAGTTTGCCATTGCGTGTGTGTGTGTGTGTGTGTGTGTGTGTGTGTGTGTGTGTGTGTGTGTGTGTGTGTGTGTGTGTGTGTGTGTTGTGTCAGAGATATCTGTGTCTTATATACATATCTGAGAGCACAAGAGTAGTGGTATGCGCTTGTGTGGTATTATGCTCATCAACAAAAAAACAAAAATATGATATTAGTGTAAGACACACAACATCGTCTAGAACTGAAGCAAATGAACATAGAGAAGACAA